GTGTTGTGATGTTCGGCTTTCATTTGTGGTCTATATATCGACTCGAAAATAACACAAACAATTAAGTTTTCGGTCCACATCAGTCCAAAATTATTATCTGATCATCACCACAAATTATAGGCGTTGTCCTTGACCATAACTGGAACCTTATGGAACATTTCAAAGCGATCAGCGCTATAGTTCCGCGCTCTGGAGTGATAATGGGTTACTAAATAATATACGAATACGGAGATACCTGCAAATATTTAGGTGTAACTCCCACATCCGAGCACATACATCAATATAATTGGTATTAATTTAAAGGTCAACCACTACTCTTGGATATAATATCAACTTCTCGGATCTATGTCATTCAGGGGTAAATATATACGCTATAGAATACAAATTTTGTCATTTTTCACACAAAAGTCAGGGTCCATTTGACCCGCTAAATATTGACCGATCTTTATGAAAGCAGGCATGCTTATCCCCTTCTCCATGCAAAATTTCACGATGTTCGGGCCATTTATTACACTTAATTATAAACCGACAAAAATTTAGATTTGGTATCATCCCCTAAATATTAACCAAAAACATTGGCCAAAACCCATCCTACATGCAAAATTTCGTGAATATTGGTCCATAACTGTGACCTGTATCGTGTTTACAAAAATAACACAGGCATAAATTAAAATTGACGCCGTTTAAAATTATACCAGCTAACTTTAAATTGTTTTTTTTTTTAGTTAGCTACTCATTTGACGACAGGGAATATATTGAAAAATACAAAAAAAAAACCTCCATAATAGGTATACTGTCATTTACATGAAATAAAATTTTTAAGGCAACGTGGAACTACTACTACAGCAATTGATTTTGAGAAGTGTGGTTAAAAATGTGGATATAACGGGCGGGATATTAAAAAATAATTTTATTTCCCACACAACTATGTTGTCAAGGTAATATATCTTTGTGCATACCTAAGAGTTTTATAACGCCGCGAAATATTATTCCTTCTTTACCGATCATATATCATACATCGACTAGCTTAGTCGATCTGGACTGTGCATGAAGATCTGCTAGTATTCTTCTTCCTATAGAAGAGCTGCAAGCATTTTTCTTCCCGTGGAGAGCTGCAAGAATTTTTCTTCCTGTGTAAGAGCTGCAGTTATTCTTCTTCTTCGTATGGAAGAGTTGCAGGTATTTTTCTTCCTATAGGAGAGCTGGAGTTATTCTTCCCTTAGGAGAGCTTCTAGTATTTTTTTTTCCTGTGGAAGAGCTGCAGGTATTCTTCTTCCTATTGAAGAGATTCAGATATTTTTCTTCCTATAGGAGAGCTGGAGGTATTCTTCCTTTAGGAGAGCTGCATATATTTTTCTACCGTCTGTCCAAAGAAGACCCGTATTGTTTTTGGTAATGATCGTTTAATATTTAGGGAATGAAATGGCCCGAAAACTTTATTTTTGTCTGTTTTTCTTGTCGCTGTAAAGGTCACAATTATGACCTGAAACCCACGAAATTTTACCCCAGGATAAGCATGGTTGTTTTGATGAAGATCGGTCAATATTTAGCGGGTCAATTGGAACCCAGATTTTTGTGTGAAAAATGGCAAAATTTGTATATTATGTTCTATCTTCACGGATGTGGAAGTTTTAATTAAATGCTTATGATATTTGTAATTAAGTACATTCTTATATTGCTTGATATTACCATTACTCTACTAAAGAGCGGAAACGTCGCGCTAATTGCTTTGAAATTTTACAAGAAGTTTTGGGTTGTGGTCAAGGACGACGCCTATAATTTTCATGCAATGAACCGAAAACTTTATTTTTGTCCGATTTTCTATACGCTCTAGGGGACATTATTATATGCAGAACATCACATATTTCACACTATGAAGGAGATCTGAGTAAATTGTTAGAAAGGTGGTTCAGTTGATGGTCACTAATATTCCGATGGTCAATTAAACCAAAACCTAAAGTGACCAACTTATTATTTTATGCCGTTAATCGGCCAAAAGAGTGCAAATATCGCGAAATATTTTCCAGGCTCAGAATATAGAACCGTAAACAGTTAGATTTTCTTTGTAGTTGTTTAGGGTATGGGTGCTTACCTTAAAATTTGGCAAATGTTGATCATCTTATCTAGGAAGATTTGCAAAATTAAAGCAAATTCAGTGCTCTCAAAAATTTAGAAAAATAGGTGTACGGTTATGGGTGTTATACGCAAACGTGATCCCATATAACCCATCTTTAAATTTCCCCCCTTTTATAGCATTTTACGCTGATTAAGAATCTGGAACTATTATTTCAACGAGTTACAGAATTTTGAACCTAATAATTATTTAATGTTTCACACACGATTTGAAACTCCGTTTAAATAATAAACAAGTGAAAAAGCGTTAAGTTCGGCCGGGTCGAACTTTGGATGCCCTCCACCATAGATACAGACAGGTACTTGAAATAAATATATAGGAAAGATACCAAAAAGTGGACCTATATCAGCATTTCTAAAAACTGGATTATGTAAACCATAATACAAATTTCAAAAATGTTTAATGGATAATTGTACCCACAGCCTTATGGCTAATGAGGGTGTATACACTTTAACACGGTGAAAATGAGCCTCATCGAAATATTGGTTCTAGACCCCATGTTTCTTTGGACCAAATCCGTTTCAGAAAATTTAGAATTCATCCAAACTTTGCTCATTTTATTATTTCTTCCAAACTTAGTTCAAGTTCGAAGATGGGGAATATCGGTCCACTCCTTCTGGAACCTTTACACAGGGGCTAGGTCGAAATGAGGCCATAGTTTATTATCGAACCTTAAGTTCTAATTTTTTAACTCCCTATCCTCCGCAGGTGAAATGATTACAACAGAGACTTAGAACGAAACTCAAAACCCGGAACAAATCAGATAACTATTTTAATATAAAAAGGGGGTTATATGGGGACTACCCCGAAAAAGGGGCGAGCGATCAAAAAGGTACCTTTATATGGGTGCTACCAGAAAAAGTGGACCTATATTTATCATTTTTAGTTGAGTGGACCTATATCTATCATTTTTAGTACCCCATTGTACCAAATTTGAGCGAATTCGGTTGAAAAATGCGCTCAAGAACCATAAAAATACCGAAAATTGGGGGTACCCTTATATGGAAGCTTTGCCTAAACGTGGACCAAAAAAGCCCATCTTCGAACTTGACCTGCCTGCAGACAAACGACTCTATGCAAAATTTTGGCGATCTATCTCAATTCGTTTAGACGCTAGAGTGATTACAACAGACAGACGGACATGGCTATATCGTCATAGAATTTAACGCTGATCAAGAATCTGTATACTTTATAGGGTCGGAAATGATTATTTCGATGAGTTACAAAAGGAGATGGTATAAAAAATTGTATAATTGAAAACGAAGTTACTTCCAAAAGGTCATGTTTATTTAAAAAACGACTCCGCTTAATTGAAACAAATATTTGCGGTGCGTTTTGGCAAAGTTAATTTTAAGTGGTGACTACTTTTAGGAATATTGGCTGATAAATCCGGATTATTTTTGAGCATATTTTGACTAAATTAAAAGGCAGGAGCTGGACTCCAATATTAAACCTATTGGGAAGAAAATTGTTTTTTATACCCTACACAACTATGTTGTCAGGGTATTATAGCTTTGTGTAGCTTCAAAAGTTTGTAACGCCGCGAAATATTGGTCGTAGACCCACCTTTAAGTATACCGATCGTCATATCTCGACTAGCTGAGTCGATCTAGACATGTGTGTCCTCCCGTCTGTCCATTATAATTTGTAAACACAATACAGGCCACAGTTATGGACCAAACTTCACGAAATTGCATGTAGGATGGGTTCTGGCCAATAAAGACCCCTATTGTTTTTGGAAAAGATCGGTTAATATTTAGGGAATGAAATGGACCAAAAACTTTTTGTTTGTCGGTTTTTCTGGTCGCTCCACAAGCCGTAATTATGGCCCAAACACCGCGAATTAGCTTGTTTTGATAAAGATCGGTCAATATTTAGCGGGTCAAATGGACCCTGACTTTTGTGTGAAAAATTACAAAATTTGTATTCTATAGCGTATATATTTACCACTGAATATCAACGACCCGAGAAGTTGATAGCATATCCAAGAGGATTGGGTGACCTTTAAATTGATACTAATTATATGGTCGTATGTACTCAGATGTGGGAGGTACTCTTAAATATTTACAGGTGCTTACGTACTGAGATATTATTTAGTAACCCACTACCACACTAGGGGGCGGAAATATAGCGCTGATCGATTTGAAATTTTCAATGAGGATCCAGTTATGGTCAGGGATATCGGCTATAAATTTTGGTGAAAATCAGATACGAATTTTGAGATGAAGTGGACCGAAAACTTAATTATCATCCAAACAATTATAATCCGAACATCACAACACAATCCACGGTGAAGGGAATCTGGACAATTAATTAGAAGGGCTGTACTCAATATTGGGAATATTCGGAAAATATGTCAGTGTAAGGAAGAGGTGCTGTCGATCTTTAATCGGGCAAGAGGGTGCAACTATCACGAAATATTGCCCATGCTCAGAATAAACGTCGGCAGAAAGTTAGAGTTCCGTGGTAGTTGTGTAGGGTATCGTATGGTCGGCCCCGTCCGACTATACTGCTCGGCTCACTGGTTTATTATTACAGTTTAGCCAGCAAATACGACGACAATTATACAGCCAATATGTCAGGGGATTATTTGGTCAATACCGGAATAAATATTGTACCAAAATAACAAGATAAAAAGACTTACTGAAGAAGCCGAAATTGATGAATGTTTTTCACAAATGAAAGACCTCTACACAAACGTTTTCAATATTGGCCTATATATGAGCATGTTCGATATTTCATATTCGCAGCGGATTCAAAATCGTATGGAATTTTTTTATTACCTATATAACTCTCTTTAGAATGACTTCCTTGTTTCTTATACATCCTATTATTTTTACTACTATTTTTCAATATTTCATTTCAGTTTAATTGATAACGAACAACCCAAAAGTAGATCATATGGTTTTGATTGGGAGAATTTCCATACACTAGATGAAATTAATGCATGGTTAGGTGAAATTGCTGAACATTACCCCGATGTTGTGACACCTTTCGATATTGGTCGCTCCTATGAAGGACGTTTGATCAAAGGTATTAAAATTTCCCATAAACCTGGTAACAAAGCCGTCTTCATTGAATCGAATATTCATGCACGTGAATGGATTACATCGGCCACCATCACATATGTCATTGATGAATTACTGACTTCACGCAATCCTGGTGTACGAAAAATGGCCGAGAGTGTTGATTGGTGGATAATTCCCGTATTGAATGTTGATGGGTTTGTTCACTCACATGAAGTGGTAAGTAAGGGCGGAAATGGGATATATAAGTAATTATACCCTTCACCACACTGTGGTACAGGGTATTATGTCTTTGTGCATATGTTTGTAACAGGCAAAAGGAATCGAGATAGACCCATGGTTCCTTTTGAGAATATGCATAGAATCACTTTCTGAGTCGATTTATGCATGTCCGTCTGTCCGTCCGTCCGTCTGTCCGTCCGTCTGTCCATGTATTTTTGTTAACAAAGTACAGGTCGCATTTATGATCCGATTTGGATGAAATTTGGCACAGTTCACTTATTTGGCCCAAGGACGAAACCTATTGAAATTGGAGAAAATCGGTTCAGATTTAGACATAGCTCCCATATATAGTTTCGCCCGATTTAATGTAAATGGTGTACCAAAGCCCCTATATGTCCTTCGATTTGCACGAAAGTTGGCATTGCGTACTGGAATGAGTCTAGAATGATGTGTGTAAAATTTCATGAAAATCGGTTCAGATTTAGATATAGCTCCCATATATAGTTTCCTCCGATTTCATATATAAATGGTGCACCAAAGTCGATATATATCTTTCGATTTGCACAAAATTTGGCATAACGTACTGAAATGAGCCTAGAGAGATGTCTGCCAAGTTTCGTGAAAATCGGTCCAGATTTCTATATAGCTTCCGTATATAGTTTCGTCCGATTTCATGTAAATGGTGCACCAAAGTCGCTATATATCTTTCGATTCGCACGAAATTTGGTTTAACGTACTGAAGTGAGCCTAGAGTGATGTCTGCTTTTTTTCGTGAAAATCGGTCCAGATTTAGATATAGCTCCCTTTTATTATAGATTGATTTTAAGTAACGCACCAAGGATTTTAAGTGACGCTGCAAGGAACCAATAGGTTGAAAGGAACAAAACGTTCTGAAATTACTATAACCTAACCTGTGACATGTTTGTTTTAAATCGCTTAATATTTGGGTAGAGCTTCCATATATATTTTCGCCCGATGTTAAGTAAATTGGGCATCAAACTCCTCATGTAGTCAGATTGACATCAAATTTTGCACAACTTACAAAATTGAGCATAGAATTACGTAGTTGCGTTTTCTAGAAGTACAGACATAGCCCAGTATTTGTTTGAAGTCGATTTACATACTTTATGGATAGATCTATGTAGATTCAAATTTAGATAAATATCACATATTTTATTTCATCCAATTTCATGTTAATAGTCCTGTTCAATATACCCATAGTGGTGAAGGGTATCATATAGTCGGCCCCGTCCGACTTTACTACTTTCCTTACTGGTTTTAATGTTGAAATTCTCCATTTGCAGAATCGCATGTGGCGTAAATCTAGATTACCCTCAGATCCAACTGGCAAATGCATTGGTACTGATATGAATCGCAACTTTAATTTCCTGTGGATGTGTATGTATTATGAAATATTATTCGCCGATTTAAATAATATTTAAAATTAATTTTCCCAACAGATGCCGGTGCTTCTGATGATCCATGCTCAGAAACCTATGCCGGTCCCTATGCTGAATCGGATCCCGAAATTAAACAAATGGTACAGTTCATCAACAACACCATTCCCGAGGATACAATTAAAATTTATATTTCATTGCATTCCTATGGTCAATATGTTCTATCGCCTTGGGGTCACACTGACACCGAAGTACCCGAACATTATGGTCAAATGATGCATGTAGCCAAGGGTTTTGCTGATGCCCTGTACCGTCGTTATAATACGGTATTCACTTATGGTTCCAGTGCCCAAACACTTTGTAAGTTAATGCTTATCAGTATCTGAAAATAAAATTTGCCTAACGCTTTTGTTTTGTGGTTTTACAGATAAGGTATCTGGCTCTGGCAAGGAATGGGCCTATGGTGTCAAGGGCATTCCAATTCCATATACCATAGAATTGCGTGATAAGGGTGAACTTGGTTTCATTTTACCTCCAGAAATGATTTTGCCAGTGGCCAAAGAAGTTTTGGATGGTTTTGTTGGCATGATTGCCGCCGCTAAGGAGATTGATATTATTTAAATTTTGTTTAATTGAGAAAAAATAAATAGCGGATATTCCTTGGAAATTGGAAATATTAGAGATTGTACAATTACCGTTTTCGGGACGTATGGGTACTTAGCGCATGAGGGGCTGGAAGGAACTACATGTAAACTGGGACAAATCTGTGTATTGTGTGAGAAAGATGACTAGGTCAGCAAGTTCAATGAGCAGCGTCAATAACTTGTCGCAAAGTGCTATGTTGCGAAAAGTTATGAGACTTAGTAGGCGCTTCCAAAGAGCCAGGTGAACCAATCCGGAAGATTTAGGCACAATTCCTTGCTGCTCTTGGGACGTACAAAGACGAGCTGTCTAGGAGTAAAGAATACAATTGGAGGTGATTTGTACAGAACAATAGAGAAGATATGTGGGGTATTGTATACCGTGTGCGGTAAGCCGTTTCGTATCAGTTCCACCACAACTACCCCAGGGTGGGGGTAGAGCGTAGGGCTTTTGTTGGGAATCTTCCGGATTCGAGATTGGATCGTATTGAAGTTGTGGACAGTGTCTGCCGGGTTAGAAATGGAAAATCATCAGGTATGAATGGATGGTTTGAAAGATCATCAAGATGTTGCATCGAAGGCACGCCCTTGTATCAGTTCGGTTTACCGAGGCTATAGGCATCGTGGACGCGTGTTGACATGAGCTAGATAGCCTCTGCGGGTCTAAATTTAATGTGTTCCCAACATATTTGTGGTTTTCAATGGCACATTTGACTTCTTAGGGGTTAGCGTGCCCACTAGGTTGTCAAAGATCGGGTGCCGGGAGATTGCTCTTTGGGCGAAATATTTCAGAGATAGGAAGGCATGTGTCGTGGGTGTCAGTGCATCGGTTTGGAGGGATGTGCAGCGTGGTTGCCCCACAGGGGTCCATTTGTTTTCCATCTATATGGAAGCTCGTGATTGATCCTCTTTTGCGGAAGCTAGCTACCTCCTTCAAAGTTTGTGCTTATGCCGACGACTTGCCGTCCTTCGTGAAGTATCTCCGAATAATGGTGTCTCGGAGGTTGACTTTCCTTGCTTACTATGATCGGTTGATAGAGAAGCTGACAAATGTCTTTGGGACCGTCAAGCGTTTTTTGCGCACTGATCTGATGTGTTGCTTGTTGCCTTTATAACTCATGGTTCGCTTATATGGTAAGCGAACGTCCTGTCATGTTAGCATGTTTGCGTTCCAAGTGTTCCGATCTTGAAGACGATCGGACCCTTAATTGTATAAGTAGTTTCACTTGTGAAGCGTTTAGGACAAGAACAGTACTTGAGGAAGCGTTTTTTTTTGCGCACTGATCTGATGTGTTGTTTGTTGCCTTTATAACTCATGGTTCGCTTATATGGTAAGCGACCGTCCTGTCATGTTTGCCAGCGTGCCACATTGTTTCAACAAATGCGTTCCAAGTGCTCCGATCTTGAAGACGATCGAAGCGTCTTGAAGCGTTTAGGACAAGAACAGTACCTAGCGAAGGTGTTATTCGTGTATAACCTCCTCGCATGAGAGCTTGACAGGGCGGTGGTGGGTCCTGATGCGGCTTCACGCGTCACTTTTGAAATGTTCAAGTTACTAGTCCAACCTGAGTGTCTTTAGTTTACTATTTAGTTTTCTCTTGGTATATCCGTATTTTGATTTTTCACCTCAAGGTGGTAATTCCTTGTGACTCCGATCAGGCCAACATTGATGCAATACCTCATAGTAGATCGAGGATTCACTTTGTAATATGGCTATGTTAAATCTTCTGGGCCTGTTAGCGGGTTCGCCGGGGCCACTCAGCTGAAATTGATTTTAAATAGTGACGAAATAACTCCAATTCCCCCTTAAAAAATAACATCCGATCAATTATTTCAAAATAATTAATTCCCAATGAAATAACACAGTTTATTGCAAAATCTAGCAGCTGCAGATCACATTTCTACTCAGCTTTTCTTCGGAATATATATATTAATTGAAAACGATGACTTCTTTTACATTATAGGGGTGGACTATTCCTAATCGGTGTCCATTACATAAATTACAAACAAAATTTTATTTGGAAACTTCTACTTCAAGGTTTATACACGATTTTCCCTAAAAAACAAAAACAAACAAAAATCGATAAATTGTATATAAAAACTTTTGGAGGAATTCAAATAACTTACTGTATCATGTGTTATATCGGTATGTATGGAAATGACGCCACGGGCCAGACCAAGCAATGATTTAAATTGGGTTATGTCCATTTTCTTATCATTTGCACATATTTTACCCTGAAATAAAGGATAAGCAAATTAATCAATTGAATCCCGATTTTATTGTAACCTACCTCTTCAACGGGACATGACGTGGGTGCACCAAATATTTCCATATATTTCTTAATATTATCTGGAGCTTGTCCTACCAGGTTGCAGGTATCAGCTTTACCTTCTTTGACAACAACGCCATCTTTGATAACTTTGTACTTAGCCACAGCGGTTTTGAAAGCTTTATTCACAATACAACCGGTCGGTATGAATTCACATTTCTTATTCAATTTAAGAGTAAATTCGGGATCTGCAGCTACAACAGGATCATCAACACAATTTTCGGTTTTTAAAACTTTAACTTTGTAACCGTTCTGAAAATATTATAATTAATTAAATTTTATTTAAAGAAAGAAATGCATCAAACATTCTTCTGATTTTTTTAATTTTGGTTAACAAGTAAAATAAAATTTTTTTTGTGTAATTTCTATATCGAAAAATTACATAAAATGTTACTGTTACTTACACAAGCCAATGTCACATCCAACACCATTCCAAAGATTAACAAATTTAGAATTATTTTTGACCACATGTTCGCGTTTCGAAATGAAAAAAAAATATTACTTTTATTTTTAGGAAAATTCGAAAACGTTTAGCCATATCATTGCTGTGCTGAACTTTATATACCGAAAATGTTCAATGCCATTCGGGTAATTAAAAATAAAAATGTATCCAAAATTATTCGCTTCATTAAATAAACTTTAGTAAAGACTACCAACAGATCAAATTTCCACTAGCTGAAGCTCTCATAAATATTTTAGTTAAATGTACCATGAAACATGTTTGTATGTATGTATGTTTGATAATCTAATATTTAATGACAGTTAATAGTTGTAATTATAGTTTGATAATTGATTTACCCAGACATGTTTAAACGGTGAGTGGAATCTATGCGTTAAGTAAACTTTAATATTACGACAATGATCAAAATTTATAAAAAAAAACTTTCAAAAGATGAATTTAATTTAATATATTAATATATATATTATATATATATATATATATATATATATATTTGGTATTTGGCTGTAATTTAATGTTCGCCCAAGCTTCCAAATATCCCCCAAATAATAGTACATAACCTTTTCGGATGGTGTGGGGTATTTGAGAACGTTTTAAACCCTACGGTCAATAACCAAAAAAATATACGTAGATCAATAACCGTGGTACATTTGTATCCATCCAAAGATAGCTCTGTAACACATTAAAAAATTGGACTATCGTGAGGTTTTTTGTTTTAAATTAGTCTATGCGGATCTGGTCTAGATGTAGAAACTCAAAATTATATATACATTAAAATAATATATATTTAAATCCATGCTTAAATGATAATCTATCTAAAACAATCGTAGTAAATTCGTTATAGCTTTCGAATGGGTTAAGCTTTTTTAGTTATTTATTTTTTATTATTGGGATCTTAATTAGGTGTTCCTCAACCCCTCTGCAAATTTTTGTGGCCCTAGACAACATGGGGCCATCGGGGCGACTCGTGGAAGTCAGAAACTACCCTGGTTTCATGTGGTGTAACATCTCCCTACCAAAAATTAGTATATATCCATTGCCATTGTAGTATCATATATCATTCATAGTATATTTCATTCCGAGGTATTGAAGGGTAAAATACATTTTTGCGGAAACATTTCTATTAAGGACCAAGTTTTGATAATGCTCCAACTTACAGGTCCCGCCCCATTTTTATACCCTTCACCACACTGTGGTACAGGGTATTATGTCTTTGTGCATATGTTTGTAACAGGCAAAAGGAATCGAGATAGACCCATAGTTACTTTTGAGAATATGCATAGAATCACTTTCTGAGTCGATTTACGCATGTCCGTCCGTCTGTCCGTCCGTCCATGTATTTTTGTGAACAAAATACAGGTCGCATTTATGATCCGATTTGGATGAAATTTGGCACAATTCACTTTTTTGGCCCAGGGACGAACCCTATTGAAATTGAGAAAAATCGGTTCAGATTTAGATATAGCTCCCATATATATTTTTGGCCGATTTAAGGTAAATGGTGCACCAAAGTCCCTATATATCGTTCGATTTGCACGAAATTTGGCATAACGTACTTAATAGAGCCTAGAGTGCTTTATGCCAAGTTTCCTGGAATGATGCGTGCTGAGTTTCGTGAAAATCAGTTCAGATTAAGATATATATATATATATATATATATATATTTCCGTCAGATTTAATGTAAATAATGTACCAAAGTTCTAATATTGCATAGATCGATTGATTTTAAGTAATTGACACACCAAGGAACCAATATATGTTTGAAAGAACAAAACGTACTGAAATTAGTATAACCCAACCTGTGAAAAGTTTCGTTGAAATCGGTTCAAATTTGGATATAGATTCCACATATATTTTCATCTAAGGTAATTGGTGCTTTTAAGACCCTATATATCTCTGCACGAAATTTGGCATAGCGTGCTGAATTGCGTCTATAGTAATGTGTGCCAAGTTTCATGAAAATCGGTTCAGATGTATATAAAGCTCCTATATATATATATATATATATATAGTCGCCCGATTTTAGGTAAATGGTGCACCAAAGTCTTTGAAAATCATTCAATTTGCACGAAATTTGTCATAGGTTACTGAATTAAGTTTAGAATGACGTGAGCTAAATTTCGTGAAAATCGGTTCAGATTTAAATGTAGCTCCCATATATATTTTCGTCCGGTTTTATGTAATTGGTGCATCGATAGGATACATCTTAGGATACATCTGTTGAATATACCCAAAGTGGTGGAGGGTATCATATAGTCGGCCCAGTCCGACTTTACTACTTTCCTTACTGGTTGGTATTGTAAAGACTTTGACCAAATTTTCTCATGGAATTGGCCTAATGTATTAAAAAACGCCATATATATATCCCGTTACATTTTCGGTATATTGAAGTTCTTACCCCCGTTTTCCAATCTTCCTATGGAACTATTATTATTTTCAAGAAAAATAATCTAGGGCATGTATCTTAGAATCAGAACTCTATTCCGAATGTGCATTTTATGGAAAACCTGTGCACACAATGACCGCGTGTACATTCAGTGATATACTTCTCAATTAATTTTTTCAGATGATTGCTTAAATGACATTTCAACATAAATTTTTATATAGATAGATACATAAATACATAGATATCAATGGAATTTGAAAATATTCTTAAATCCTGCTCAATTTATTTATTAAAATGGTATCCATCTACCCCCCAAAGGATAAGGTAATCCATCAAAGCTTCTGTGTGTTTCAGATACACGCTTAGGCGAATTAAACCTACGAGAATGTTCACCTGCAGGTGTTTTATCAGCTCGAATGATAATATTATGGCAATCAGATGGCATCCGATCCAATGCTATTTTGGTCATGTTTATTAAATTGTTATTTTGATATAGAAACATTTGTAATTCTTGGACAACTGTTTTTTTTCCAGGGCAACATAATCCAATAGATTCCCCAGTGTATTTTAACACCTTACAGTATTTACATATTATTTTACTGATTTGTCGGCACAATAATAAATTGATGGATCATAGTGGAATGCAGCTCGTTCAAGGATCGCAGAAACACGGCGTCTGCGGATTCGCTCCATTTCATTACGTCGTGCTTGCTGTTGTTGAGTTTGATGTGCTCGTGCACTCGTTGCGTTCTTATCCTATCTACTTCATTGTCACTCACTAAATAACGCAATTCTGACATAGCAATACGACTAATTTCTTGATCTGGCTCTTTCTGGTCATCAGTGCACGTGAGATAGCTCTTCGCATGTTTGATTCACTGTGACGATCTTAGTCAGGTCGTTTTCTCCTCGGCATGTGATTTCGCACTTACTGACCTAACCTAACACCTTTAAGCCATAAATCTCCGTGTTCCGAAGTGCGACAGAATGATTGAAATATAGGTTGGTTGTCGAATATTATAAATGCTTTCAGAAACATAAAATTTATCAAACATAAAAAAATAATTTGACACAAAGTGCAAATTGTCTCTATGACTACATTTTATTTAGAAAAAATTTGTATGGGAAATATAAAAGTCTGTTTTTAGAGGTTTCGCGGTATTTTTTCGATATTTTCTTAAACCTTCCCTAGACCTCCACGAACATTTCAAGTCTAAGATGAGATAAATCCATTCAGCCGTTCTCGAGTTTAAGCGAGACTAACGAAGAGCAATTCATTTTTATATATAGAAGAAGAAGAAAGAATGAAAGAAGAAGATTAATCCTTTGATACATAACATATCGATTTTTAACCTACAAAATAAGGATAACAGAAACTTAACAAAATAAATTATAAGATGGTCGTTAACTCAATGACCAACATCTATTATTAACTGGCCCATATTTTTATACCCTTCACCACACTGTGGTACAGGGTATTATGTCTTTGTGCATATGTTTGTAACAGGCAAAAGGAAACGAGATAGACACATGGTTCCTTTTGAGAATATGCATAGAATCACTTTGTAAGTCGATTTATGCATGTCCGTCAGTCCATGTATTTTTGTTAACAAAATACAGGTCGCATTGGTGATCCGATTTGGATGAAATTTGGCACAGTTCACTTATTTGGCCCATGGACGAACCCTATTGAAATTGGGAAAAATCGGTTCAGATTTAGATATAGCTCCAATACATATTTATGTCCGATTTTATGTAAATGGTGCACCAAAGTCCCTACATATCCTTCGATTTGCACGAAATTTGGCATAGCATTTTGAATTAATCCTAGAAAGATGTGTATTAAATTTCGTGAAAATCGGTTCAGATTTAGATATAGGACCCATATATATTTTCGTCCGATTTTAGGTATATAGTGCGCCAAAATCCCAATATATCCTTCGATTTGCACGAAATTTGGCACAGCGTACTGAATTAAGTCTAGAACGATGTGTGTTAAATTTCGTGAAAATCGGTTCAGTTTTAGATATAGCTCCCATATATATTATCGTTCGATTTTATGTAAATGGTGCACCAATGTCCCTATATATCACTTGATGTACACGAAATTTGACATAGTGTACTGAATTGATTCTAGAATGATGTGTGCAAAGTTTGGTGAAAATCGGTCCGGATTCAGATATAGCTCCCGTATATATATTCGTCTGATTTTATGTAAATGTTGCACCAATGTCCCTATATATCATTCGATTTGCATGAAATTTGGCATAGCGCACTGAATTAAGTCTGAAATTATGAGTGGTAAGTTTCGGTAAAATCGGTTCAACTTTAGATGTAGCTCCCATATATATTTTCGTTCGATTTTATGTAAGTGATCCATAGTCCCTGTATATCCTTGGATTTGCACGAAATTTGGCATAGCATTTTGAATTAAGCCTAGAAAGATGTGTATTAAATTTCGTGAAAATCGGTTCAGATTTAGATATAGGACCCATATATATTTTCGTCCGATTTTAGGTAAATAGTGCACCAAAATCCCCATATATCCTTCGATTTGCACGAAATTTGGCATAGAGTAATGAATT